AGACTTTTTGGTGATAGCTATTCTTACTGGTGTGAGGTGATACCTCATTGTGGTTTTGATTGCATTTCTCTAGTAATTAGCCATATTAAGCATCTGAAGTAAACTCTGAGTTGTATAGATTTTTAGTTTCCTGAAGCTAGGAATCTTTGTATCTTTTATAACATCCAGGAAAGTACTTTGCAAAAAATGAATATTCTGTAAATATTTAAATTGGATAAAATGTATTTCCTGTTACAGAAGTTTTTGAGAAGTATATTTTCATATATTGAGTTCAATAATAGTAGTGAGGGAGGGCCATGTAAATGTCAAGCAGAGTACATTACATTAATGTTTTGGTCCTTTGTAATTTTTATTTTTAGAGTAGCTTTGAAAAACAGTGTAATGATGGAGTCCTCAGTGTAGAGGCAGCCCGGACATTAATTGGTGCAACCAAAAGCTTTTGCCCTATCCAAGGAAAGTAAGTGTAATACTTCTTTAATTGATATTTCCAAAATTGAATGGGTATGTGATACAGAATGAACAAACTGAGAGTTGAATGCCCAGATTGATCAATCTTTTTATGTTATCTATCTATCTGTCTATCCATCCATCTATCCATCTACTTCCTATTTTACTTGTTTACACTTTTCCCCCAGGTTTAGTAACTTTGATGACATTAGGAGATTCTGGAGGAAGTTCTGACTAGAGAGCAATTTATGTAAGAGACAAGGGAAGCCATGAAAAAGAACCCATATAGTTTCAATTACTATTATAATTATTTTGTCTTTATATCATATTCACTAAATTACTGAATAGGGGAGGTAGGGAAGCCTGGAGCCTGCCATTAAACTGCTTTCTGGAATGGATCAGACTCTGGAGGAATTGACCCAACCTACGGAACTGATAGATGCAAGTTGCAAGTAAATCTGATGGGGAAAGCTTAGTATCTTAGAGATATATTGATATTTGGTCACAGCCCTGGTAAACATTAGAGAATGGACGGTCGAAGACAAAGCTGTGGGGCAACTACAATGGGAGAGTCTGTCTGGGTGATGGTTAAATTTCAGCACCCTGGCAATACATCTGGGAGATACAGCATCAATTCCTGGATGAAGTTTGGGAAAGATAGGGAATTTAGGGCCTTGGAAAATCTTGGGCTAGGCAAGGCGTGACAAAAGGAAGCTTGATTCTGAACCCCAAAGAATTGGTCTGGAGAAGTTTAAATTATATTTTACCTCAGGTCAGGAATAGTTCCAGAAACATGGACAGCAAGAGGCTTACGCTAAAATGTTTCTCTTCTGTGACTGTGGGTAGGTAGCTGATGGATACTGAGGCATATTTAACAAACCCATACTACATTTATATTTAGTGTAACTTTCTGTTTATATTACCCAAAGATATAGCACTTGTTTTTCCTTATAACATGTATCTGTATTTTTCTCTGTTAGATTCATGACTATTTATGATGTTTTAGCTTATGTAAGAGCTAGAAGTTGGCTTATGAAGTTTAAAAGCTTGTTAATTTTCTTCAAATATCATAAAGAGAAGGCACCTCTTACTCTATGTGGGTAAGTACTATGAACCTTTAATAGCAATGCACTTGAAAATGTGACCTTTCCTACATTGTCAGAATAGATTACCATGATTTTCCCTAAAAAACCCCCACTAACATTATAGTCAACTCATTGACTGAGTGGGGAAGGAGCAGAGTGCTTGCTTTTCTTTCTCCATTCTGTTTCAGCAATTTCACTGACACCTCCAATAGAGAGTAGATAGAAAAAAAAAGAAGAAGAAAATGATGGTCATATTTGGATTCTTCAAGTTTTAATTGCCATGTCTTAGGGTCACATTATGTCTTGGGCTTCTTTAATATTCTAGTATTCATCTGATGTGAGCGAGAGTGAGAAATATCAATCTCAAAGACTGGATCTAGCTCTCACATTTCATCTGTGCCATGCGGTGTTTCTGCTGATGTCTATAATTAGGAAAAACACAGCATGGCCTTAATAATACCTATCACCAATTTCCAAAATGTCACAAGATACAAATTTTACTTTACTTGTGTAGGTTCTTTGCTTTGTTATATAAGTTCTGAACCTATAGAATTTTTAAAGCAGAAAGACAAGGTTTCTCTAGTAAAGATGTCAAATGAGAAGATTCTGGGACCATTAATGCTAATAAATTTTAAATGGTTGTTAATATACTTTTCATAACAAATTATGATAATTTTTACTTTATTCCATGTATTAAGTTTAAAGAAAAATATAAAAAATTAAGACCCTAGGGTCTCAATATGTATCTAGGTAACTTCTTTTTGTCAGCCTCTACTTTCAATAAACAGAAACCATTTAAAAAAAAATATATCATAGAATATTTTTTCCTGTTCCTAATTTTAATCAGTACTAGTGTTTTCTCTAAATTTATTTATCTCTTGCTTTTGATATATGAATATTTGCATTGTCCCTATGTGCTATTAGCTTTAATTTTAAAAAATGCCTTCCAGAAAAATCTCAAACAACTTAACCTTATACACCTAAAGGAGCTAGAAAAAAATAAAATCCAAAGTTCGTAGAAAGGAAGAAATCATAAATAAGCAGAAATAAGTGAAAGAGACTAAAAAAAAAAAACTAGAAAAGATAAATGAAACTAAGAGCTAGTTCTTTAAAAAGATAAAGAGAAATTAATAAACCTTTAGCCAGAGTCACCAAGAAAAGAAGAGAGAGCATCCAAATCAATGAAATCAGAAATGAAATAGGAGAAATTACAACTGACTACACAGAAATACATAGGATTGTATGAGATTACTGTAAACAACTATATGCCAATAAGATGGGCAACCTAGAAGAAATGGACAAATTCTTAGAAATGTACAATCTCCCAAGACTGAACCAACAAGAGGTAGAAAATAAGAACAGACCAGATGCCAGTACTGAAATTGAATCAGTAGTTTAAAAACTCCCAAAAAACAGAAATCCAGGACCAAATGGCTTCACAGGTAAATTCTTCCAAACATGTAGAGAAGCATTAACACCTATCCCTTTCAAACTATTCCAAAAAATTGCAGAGAAAGGAACACTTCCAAACTCATTCTATGAAGCTTGCATTATCCTGACACCAAAATCAGATAAAGATACCACAAAAAAGGGGAAATTGTAGGCCAATATCACTGACGAAAATAGATGCAAAAATCCTCAACAAAATATTAGCAAACCAAATTCAACAATACATTTCCAGGATTGCAAGGATGGTTCAGTATCTGCAGATCAATCAATGTGATATACCACATTAACAAACTGAAGAATAAAGATCATATGATCATCTCAGTAGATGCAGAAAAAGCTTTTGATAAAATTCAACATCCATTTATGATATAAACTCAACACAGTGGGAACATTTCTCAACATAATAAAGGCCATGTATTACAAACCCAAAGCTGACACATACTCAATGGTGAAAAGCTGAAGGCATTTCCTCTAAGATCAGGAACAAGACAAGAATACCCACTCTCACTACTTTTATTCAACATAGTTTTTGAAGTCCTAGCCACAGCAATCAAGAATAAAAAGAAATAAAAGGAACCTAGATTGGAAAGGAAGAAGTTAAACTGTCACTGTTTGCAGATGACATGATAATATACATATAAAATCCTCAAGATGCCACCAGAAAGCCACCAGAGCTCATCAATGAATTTGGTAAGATGGCAGGACAAAACTAATATACAGAAATCTGTTTTATTTCTATAGACTAAAAATGAAATATGAGAAAAAGAAAACAATCCCATTTACAATTGCATCAAAAGAATAAAATATCTAAGAGAATAAAATGCCTAACTAAGGAGGCAAAAGATCTGAATTCTGAAAACTGATGAAAGAAATTGAAGACAACACAAACAGATGGAAAGATGTACTGTGTTCATGGATTGGAAGAATTAGTATTTGTTAAAATGACTGTATTAATTAAAGCAATCTACAGATTCAGGGCAATCCCTATCAAAATACCAATGACATTTTTCACAGAAGTAGAACAAATAATTCTAAAATTTGTATGGAAACACAGAAGACCCTGAGTAGCCAAAGCAATCTTGAGAAAGAATAGAGCTGGAGGAATCAGTCTCTCTGACTTCAGACTATGCTACAAAACTATAGTAATCAAAACAGTATGATACTGGCACAAAAACACACACATAGATCAGTGAGTCAAGATAGACAGCCCAGAAGTAAACCCATGTGTTTATGGTCAATTAATATATGACATAGGAGATAAGAATATACAATGGAGAAAAGACAGTCTCTTCAATAAGCGTGCCAGGAAAACTGGACAGCTACATGCAAAAAAATCAAACTAGACTACTTTCTCATACCATGCACAAAAATAAATTCAAAATGAGTTAAAGCTTAAATGTAAGACCTGAAGCCATAAAACTTCTAGAAGAAAACATAAGCATTAAACTATTTGACATTGGCCTTAGTAATTTTTTTGGTATATGTCTCTTCAGGAAGGAAAGGAAAAGCGAAAAATAAACAAATGGGACTACATCAAAATAAAAGGCTTCTGCACAGTGAAAGAAACTCTCAACAAAATATAAAGGCCACTTACTGAATGGAAGACATTTGGAAACAATATATCTCATAAGGGGTTAATATCCAAAGTATACAAAGAACTCAAACAACTCAACATTACAAAAACACATAGCCCAATTTAAAAAAGGGCAGAGGATCTGAATAGATGATTTGCCAAAGAGGAAGACATACAGATGGCCTACAGGCACATGAAAAGATGCTCAGTATCACTAACTGTCAGGGACATGCAAATCAAAACCACAATGAGATATCACCTCACACCTGTTAGAATGGCTGTTATCAAAAAGACAGCAAATAAGTGTTGATGAGGATGTGGAGAGAATGGAACCCTCATGCACTGTTGGTTGAAATGTAAATTGGTGCAGCCATCATGGAAAACAGTATGGAGATTCCTCAAAAAATTAAAAATAGAACTACCATATGATCCAGCAAGTCCACTCCTGGGTATTTATCTGGAGAAAATGAAAACTCTAATAAGAAAAGACACACCCCTATGTTCATTGCAGCTTTATTTACAATAGCCAAGATATGGAAGCAACCCAAGTGCTCACTGATAGGTGAATGGATAAAGAAGATGTGGTATACATAATGGAATATTACTCAGACATAGAAAAGAATGAAATCTTGCCATTTGGCACATGGCTGGACCTAGATAGTATTATGCTAGGTGAAGTAAGTCAAACAGAGAAAGACAAATACCATGATTTCACGTATATGTGGACTCTAAAAAATAAAACAAATGAACAAATGTAATAAAAGAGAACAAGAGTCATAGATACAGAGAACCAACAGGTGGTGTCCAGAGGGGAAGGAGTAGGGGGAGGAAAGAAATAGGGTGATTGAAAGGTACAGACTTCTGATTGCAAAATAAATGAGTCACCAGTATGAATTGTACAGGGTGGGAAATACAGTCAATAACTATATAATATCTTTTTATGGTGACATAGCTAGACTTATTGTGGTTGTCATTTTGAAATGTGTAGAAATAGTGAATCAGTATGTTGCATAACAGGAACTAACAGTGTTGTAGGTCAATTTTACTTCAAAAACGAACAAATAAGCTCATAGGAAAAAAGATCAGATTTGTGGTTACCAGAGATTAGGGACTGGGGAGGTGGAATTGGATGAAGGCAGTCAAAAGGGACAAACTTATAGTTGTAAGATAAATAAATACTAGGGATATAATGTATTATGTGAAAAATATAATTAACAATATCGTATGTTATATATGAAAATTGTTTAGGGAGTAAATTCTATTCTATCACAAGGAAAATTTTTTGATTTTCCATTTTCTTTAATTTTGTATCTACATGAGATGATGCATGTTCATTAAACTTACTGTGATAATCATTTCATGATGTACATTAAGTCAAACCATTATGCTGCTCACCTTAAACTTAAACAATGCTGTATGTCAATTATATCTTAGTAATACTGAGAGGAAAAAAACCCCAAAAAACCTCCTAACAAACAAAAAATGTGAGTATGTATTTACAGAATCTAATGTTTCTGGTAAAGGTTAATGAAAACATTTCTTCTACTTGAGTGAATAATATATATAAGACACCAACTTAAAAAAAAAATCTCCCCAGCCCAGATATAGATTAATTAGAGCCATATTTTATCTTTTTCCTTTATGATTTTTATGTTTAGAAAGTGTGTTTTATATATTTATATATTATCTATTATTTTATGTATTTATATTCTTCAAATTAATGTTAATATTTGTTTAAACAAATGTTGAACTTCAGATTTTATACTTCTAAAGTGATCTGACATTTTATTTGGTCTCTTTTTTTAGGAATAATAAATTTCTTCTTTTTGTACATCGCATTGTATTTTCAGAAGAATTTGAATATGCGGGATATATTACAGCAATAATATACACTTATCCTATGATAATACATCTGTGGCCAATGGCGAGAGAGTTAAATGTGTCAGCACTGATATTGGTCAACTATTACTTTGTATTTTTATACCTATTAGGATCAGCACTGAAGGTACTGTTTAAAATAGAAATACATCCTATAAAAAGAATAATTTAGATAATTTGAATCTATTTTGTCATATTATTGAAATAATTGATACTAGAAGTCATCTCCTTTAACAGTTGATAGGATCCTCGAATTTTAGCAATCTTTTTGAATTTTCTGAGTTTAGCAATGAAATCAGTATAATAGTCACAGTCTTGGATATCAGATAAGTATCATAAAAGTGAAGAAAATCTCAAAGGTTGGGTAAAAGAGAACTGAAAATCTAGACAGGGTGCTTCCCTCAAATTCTCTCTGTAACAATGCAAAAAATAAGTGAATAAAGCCAAATTGGTTTGCTGGGTCCTTGTCATGATATAAGATGAGAGCTACTTTTCAGGATACATGCTTTAAAGATGAATTTATCAGTGTTACTATTTTCATACTTTATTATTTTTTTCTTTCTTTCCTTCTTTTTTTTTTTTTTTTTTTTCAGGGGGGACATAATTAGGTTTACTTATTTATTTGATTTTTCAGTGGAGGTACTGGGGATTGAATCCAGGACCTCAGGCATGCGCTGTACCACTTGTGCTATACCCTCCCCCCTTATTTTCATACTTTATTATTAATACTATTACAGTGGATTTGTTTACTGTGTTTCATTGCTTGTCTTTGGCATACCAGCTTCATGATAGATTATATATATTTTGAGTGAAATTCTAATTTTTGACGTTGGAGATTAAAATGGATGTTTTTGAATTTCAGATGAATGAGTTAAAACCTAACTTTTGGAATATAACTCATTTGTAGCTGAGAATTTAACTGTTAATTCTTTAGAACCCTCCCCCCTCCCCATATCACTGTATAGGTGCTATGAAATGACTTCTAATTCTGTGTTTTCTAAACAGATAATAATTTTGAAAAGGAAATATTTTCATCAACATTGGAATATTTTGGAATTTTTTACCGTGCTCATTGGAATTGTTGATATATTCTGTTTATATTTTGTCAAATTGAGACCAGACAACTTGGTTCTTATTCAGTTTGCAGTAATAATAGGTTATTTCAGAATAATTAGATTTCTTCCTCTTATCAAGGTAAAACTTCACATTTTTAAAAATTGTGGTTTTTTTTTCCTACACTATTTGTCAGATGAATTAAGAAACCACATTATTTTGAAAGAAATAGGGCAGGTGCGGGGAGCTGTCTTTTCTCCTGGAACCCTCTCCTGACCGGTATCTGCTTGGCTCACTCTCTCACTCCAAGTCGTTGCTTAAATCTCACCTTCTCACAAAGCCCTTTCCCTGACCACACTACCTGCCCTCCCTACTCCCAGCTTTCCACCCTGTCTTCCTGATCCCCCTCCACCTGCTTACGTTTTATTTTTTTCTCCATAGCACTTATCACCATTTTACTGTATGTTGTGTGTACTCTCTGTGGGGTGGGGATCTTTGTTTTGGTCACTGATGTACCCTAGGACTCTAGAATGGTGCCTGATAAATCATAAGTTCTTCATAAGTTATTTACTGGGTGAATAAATGAAAATGATGATGCTACTTGAAGCAGAATAACCCAGAAACAAGTTCTCCAAGTTTTAGTAAAATTTGCTCACAAAGCCGTAACTGTGCAGTCAGTGTGCTCTCCTGCCTCAGCTTATGATTCGAAAAATTTCTAGCAAAGGAGGCTGTTGGATATCCTAAGTTCCTTATCTTACGGGTGAAGAAACAGGGCTAAAGAGAAGATTTATTCAGTTGGTAACTATCCCCCAGGTTATGGGGTGATCTCTCTTCTGAAATCCAGGCGTGTGGAGAATGGGGGAAAAGGTGTAGGGACCTTCCCTTAAAGCTACAGAGGCAGCTATCCACTGAACTTTCATCTCTTTAGGGAGTGGCTCTCAAACTTGAGTGTGCATAGAATGACCTGGAGGACTTGTTAAAGCACTGATTTCTGGGCTCATCCCGAGAGTTTCTGGTTCAGCAGGTCTAGAGTGGGGCCTGAGTGTCTGTGTTCCTAACAAAGCCGCTGGGTGATGCCACGGCTGGTCTGACAATGACACTTTGGGAACGTCTGCCTTAAGGGTGCTTTTCCTCGTCACATTTTCAGGCTTTTTTTCTTCTCTCTGTTATTCCAGATAATGATACCACTGCTGATAAGTGTCATAGACGTGCAGATCAAAAAGCAGCTCAGCCTGATGTATAGTATTACAAAAGGCTATGTCAAAAGTCAAGAGGATACCAAATTTTTAATACGACAGATTTCTAGCCGAGAATCAGTAAATCAGGTGAGACACAAGCACTGATCATCTGGGGAAAACATCACTTAGGTGTATTAATTTCTTTTAAGATTCTGTCTGGATGTATTTGACCCAAGAGATTAAATTATAGCAAGTGAGGGGAATTCAGTTGTTTATCATGTCAGACAAGGTCTGCAGGGAACAGTCTCTGCTCTTTAAATTTCAGCTGTCATGATTGAACTTATTTATGATTGTCACAGAAGAAAATCTACTTGCTTTTATTTTCTGAGTGCAGAGTAGAGATTCTGCCTGTCTTGTAACACTCTCTGAAAGGTAGGGCACTTCAAAAAGGCTTCATGTAGGAGCTGAGATATGAACAAGGCTTCAAAGAAAGGGTAGGTCTGAAGTGGTGGGAAGAGAGAGGGAAAGAGAACAAAGATGTCACATTGAAAACTTGAAATGCCGGTACTGAGGAGTGAATGAGTGGTAGTATTTTGCGATTATGTTTTTATCATTCAAGACCCTCCTCATTTCCAGGCAGGAAAAGCCCCAAATGGGAGATGAGGGCATAAGCACATTAGGAACTCACAGATGGAAATAGTCATCTCCTGACCAGGTTTCCTCACGCCAGTCTGTCCATTCCAGGCCACTCTGCAATTTAGTCGAGTGAGGTTCCTAAAAGGGCTATTTCAAGCTTTGTGTGTGATTTTCTGCTTAAAAGTATTCAGTGGCTCTGCATGGCTGAAAGGGTAAGATCTTAGAATACACACACACACACACACATACAGAAGACAACAGAGATAATAAAAAATAATCATACATAATTTGACCACTTAAAAATTAGTTGTAAAGTTATACCACCCTACCACTTCCCAGAGACAGCCCCAAAGTCACCATTCCTGTGTTAAATTCCTCTAACTGCTTGCCGTAAGAATTTAATAATATGCGTATGTATTTAATTCTTGACTTACTGTTTTTAAACAACCTTTATTTACTCTCTGCCATGGAGTATAAGGAAATAACATTCCTTCTCCTTTAACCTTTTCTTTTTTCCCTTTTCTTGAATTTTTGGAGCTGTTGTTTTTACAGGGAAAAGATTTATAACATTCACATTCTATTCTGCAAGTATAATTAAGTCTTCCTTCTTTTCCATAAATGACTCTATACATGGAAAACCAAAAAACAACCTTTACTTTGTTATGATTGTATGAATGCCACTCACTGTAGACCCTATCATTTGATTCAAACCATAATAAAGGGTATGATCTAATGTCATTAAACATTTACTACTTGAGAGAGCTTCTTCTAACTGAAACAGTCCAATGAATTAATTTTTTAAAATCTACCTTCCTTCTTTTCCTCAGCCACTCTTCCTGGCCTCCCATGCGAGCCTCCTGTTTACTTCCATTTTTGTTAGGCTGGATTATGCCGAGAAGTCATTTTTTTCCATAGGATGTATGGACTGAGACATCTAAAATTCTTTTTATCTTGTTTTTTTAATTTTAATAGTCTGACTCTTCAAAACCGTTTTCTTGAAGTCATTGCCCCTGTCTTAAGCATTGCTGTTATAGGACTGGTTTTACTTTTGCTTTTTGAGGTGACTTTTTTTTCTCTTTCTCTTCAGAGGCTTTTGAGATTTTATCCTTGGAGTTCTGAAATCTGATCAGGATGTGTCTAGGTGTGATTAAATTAAAAGTTGTTTTGTTTTTGTTTTTGTTTTTTTTTAAAAAAAGTCCTACACAGCACTTGGTGGAGCCTTTATAATCTGAAGTTTGCCATATTCTTTCCATTGTTTCTTTGATTATTTCCTCCCCTCTATGATTTCTATTTTCTCCTTTTAACATCTTTTTAAAGAGATTCTTGAATTTCTGGGTGTAGACTCTGTTTCAACTTTTCTCATAACTTTCAACTCTTTGCTCTTTGCTTTGAGAAACCCCCAACTTCATTTTCCAAGTTCCTAATTCAGTCTTCAGCTGTGTCCCTTCTGCCATTCAGCCCATCTATCAAATTTTACTTTTTTTTTTGGCAAGCACTCCAAGAATTTTGATTGCTTCTTTTTCATAGTAACTGTTTCCTTTCATTTTTTTTAATGAATATAATGTTCTCTTAAATCTCTTTCTTTTAAAAATTTGTTGCCTGTATTAATTCTGCTTCTCTGAGGTTCATGCTTCTATTTGCTGTATTTGGTTCCTGTCTTTCATTATGTTTTTTCCACCCAGCGTTGGATGATTTGGGGTTGCATGTTCTTAACGTGTACATGAGCGTCTGAATTGAATAGTACCAATAGCTGAAGGGTATTTTCTCAGCTCAAGTGAGACTCCTGATTTTTAATCTAACAGTGAGTTTAAATCCTAATTACTAAAGTCCGAGATCTGAGGATCGTGTGCATATACATAAAATCAGGAATGGGCTGGGGGTTATGACTTCCCATTGTCATGCCTATTTTTGGTGACTTTTAGTTACCTCAGGTACTCAACCGAAAAACAGATTCTTCCCTTTTTAAATTCAAGAGAAGAAAGAGGCTGTGGAGACACCTAACTTAATCTTTTATTTTTGATTTCCAAAATACGTAAAAAGATGTATTGTTAAATATCTTTAGCATTTAAGATTTCTTTTGTGTAATCAGGGACCACGATAGGAAGAGCATACCTGGGTTTTAGGAAGGCATCCAACATCTTTTATGATAGCTGTATAGAAAGAGGAATGTCATCTAGATTTATCAGAGAAGTATTGACTATTGGATCAAATGTTAATGTGCGACAGAATTCTGTCCTGTTGATTCACTTGTAATTTTGGAGAAGAAAATTAAAAAAACTACTGAAAGTCTAGGTTGGTCTATATTAGAAAGAACAAAAGCTATTCATAGGAGAAAAGATTTTAGAAGCAGGAAGAGGGGAGAAGAAAGACAAGAGCCAGTGAGGGGAGCAGAGAATGTGTTTTGAGGAGTTTGAGTGAAGGCACAGAGATCTGGGGGCAGTTGCTGGGAAATATAAGAGATGAAACAAATTCCCCTTTGGCATTTTTAAAGGAGACTTTGGTAGAGATTTAAATGACTTTTTGAGATGTGTTTAGATATCAAACTGATGTTTATTCTGAAAGTGACACGGTTCTAGAAACTGGCCAGTGGCCGCTCACCTTTAGGGAAGTCACCCATGCGTCCAGGCTTTCATGATTGTATTCTTTTTGTGGGCGTGAGCTGGTTCCTCTGCTCTCTTGGGCAAGGCCATCCTTTGGCAGTTTCACAGAGTTGCTGGAGGGGGCTTCAGTCTGGCCTGAAGGGGACTTAGCTGCTGCCTGTGCACCTCTGTAAGCACAGCATACAGGTGCCATGTACAGGCTAATAACTGGGCACTTTCCCAATATTGAGTCAATGTTACCAAGTGAGAAGAAGTGACTTCTAAAAAATTTTATTTTTTATTGAAGTGCAGTTGATTTGCAATGTTAGTTTAAGGTGTACAGCAAAGTGATTCAGTTATACATGTACATGTATGTATTTCAGGTTCTTTTCCACTATGTGTCACGACAAGAAATTGAATGTAGTTCCCTGTGCTATACCGCCAGTCCTTGTTTATCTATTTTATATATAGTAATGTATATCTGTTAATCTCAGACTCCTAATTTATCCCTCCTCTGCCCTTTCCCCTTTGGCAAGAGAAGAAACAATTTAATAAAAACTGTATGCCTCATTCCTGTATTCAAAATGAGGGATTTATGACATGTGGTTTTTCTAAACCAAAAAAACCAAAAAACAAACAAAAAACCCCACAACACACGCTCAACTTTAACTGCTTAAACTTTAGATATCAAACCAGTTGTTCCCTGTAAATAGCACTACACCATGCATTTTTCGGGTGCAGAATTTCAGTCATCTGTAGCTTGTCACCCCAGAGAACTTCCAGTTGTTCAGTCCCAGGGCTGTTAGTGTGGTTCAGTGCAAGCTCCAGACTCAAAACTAGAAAGTAAGCTCCATGAAGAGCCACGCCGGGGACATGGTGGGCATTTGACAAATACCTCTTGCATGATTGAACAGAGATTGGTTAGACCAGAGTGGAGCTATTTCTTCTTTTATGTCATTTATGCAGGAAACATGAACTACTTGACACCATTTTGCCCTTATTCCACTTGCTTTTGTGCTTCCAATAGGCTGACTCCCCAGACAGCCACTCTGTTGGCCACCCTCTAGTGGGGCTCTATCCATGAGAGCTCTCCTTGGCATTCAGCAGAGTACACACTAATTTTTCCTGAGAAATATTAGGCACAGTGGTTATGTACGCTCCTGACCACATAGCATTTATTGGACTATGAGTACAAGCCTGGGGGAAGAAGTAGAATTAACGTAGAGGGAAGAATTAAGCCAAATATCTCCCCCAAATCATAAACTTAGTGAGATTTCTTCTACCATACTTCTTTTTCTCATATTTTAAAGCCTGAAATGTACTTGGTATAATTAGAAATTAATGTTTTTCTTAACTTCTCACAGAAATTATATGAAATTTTGGAAACCAACAAACGAGATGCTGTCAAGGAGCTAGGTAGGTGGTTGGAATATCTGATTTCCTGAAATCGCACCTTATCATCCCATAATTTAACCAAAGGAAGACAAGTTCATGCTTTTATTCAACCACTCACTCATTCATTTAGTCATTCAATAAGCATTTCCTGAACACATGTGATAGGCCAGGTGTGCAAAAACTGGCAAGATCAGATTCCTTAAGGTTGTAAGAAAAAAACTAAGATTACCTTTGACAAAGGGTGTTTTTGTTTTGCTTTACTTTGTTTACAAGGATACTCAGGAATGTGAGGTTGCGAGGGATATCATTTCTCAAGCATCTACAGTCACTCTGCTTCAGCTGAAACACACAGCAGGAGCCCTAGGACGAAGCTTCTTAGATCTGCTTTTCTCATAAGGGAACTGTAGGCCAGGCTGTCAGTGTGAGAACCTGGCGGATGGTAGGCCCTTAATAAATGGACATTATTATAAAAGAAAGAAAGCAAAACCACCTTGTATTCACAAGGACGTTGTAAGATGCCATATGGATTTACAAGGATCGTACTTTCCATATCAAAACTGAAAGAATACGGTCTAATGAATGAAACTGTAAGTTTGGAGACAGTAGTTCAGAATGTTTCTGCACTATCTCAGGAAATCCAGGGCCCCTTGTTTCCATTTATGTATTAGGCAGATTTTTATTTCTGCTCTTTTAAAGATTAGGGGTCTAGGAGCTGCTGTCTTATGTTTTAGATCAGTATGGAATATTCCAGAGTTTTCTAGATTCAATCATGTAAAAGGGACTGCCTGTACCCATATGGTTACTGCAACTGATTATCGAATGCTAATTATGTCAGGGGTTGTGTCGATGGCTTAATATGCATTATCTCATTTAATCCTTATGCTTACTCCATGAGGCAAATACTATTATCACCTTCATTTTGTAGATAATGAAATAGAGGCTTAGAAATGTTAACTCGCCTGAGGTCGTATGGCTGGCAAGGGGCCACGTAGACCTCAAGTCCAGGTGTATCTGACACCAAAACCTGTGCTCTTTCTTGGCCATGTTGTCCTTCATTTCACTGCTCAGCTCATTACAGGTAAAAAGTGACTGAGTCCCGTCCAGACGTCAGGCATTGTGCCCAAGGTTAGGATTACAAAGACGAAACATGCAGCTTTAGCCTCGACTCCCACCCAGTCCATTCCATGACTTCTCATGCTCGTTGAAGAGGAAAAGCTATGCAGTCTGATCTCAGAAAGACCTACCAGCCAAAGTCCAGGGGCTCTATCACTCATTTATTCACCCACCCCTGGAAAATTATATAATACGGAGGATGAGGCAAATAAATAAATATAATCATACTACAAGGCCATGAGTGACATGGTGGAGATGTGTAGGAGGTGCCACGGAAGTAAGGTGGAGGAATTGTCTCTCAGCGGGTAAAGGAAGCCCTTTTTCAATTTTATCATCCACAAAACAGAGATGAAAATAACTTTAGTCCTACCAGCCTCACAAGTGCTGTATGAAACAGGAATGAAAGAATATTGTGTGAATACTTTGAAAATTGTGAACTATTATATGAGTGTTAGTTATTATTACAGTTACTGCATTCTTTGCTTACTGATGGTTTTATTTGCTACAGGACTCATAGAGCACGAGGGTCGTGATGTTGTCATTGCTTTGAAGACTAAGCAGGCGATCCGGAACGTGATTGCTAAAGCTCTGGAAAGCCTCACCTTCCTTTGGTCAAGAGGCATTATTGATAAATATGAGGGCATTGAGCTGAATAAGGTAATGAAGTAATTTTCCATATTGCTTGATTCCATGAGCCACCACCCAAGGCTGCAGAGTGTAATGAACAAGGGACACTGGAAAAAGAGCAGTTCATGCCAAGTGTTAACTCTGTAGTTGCCGAAACCTTTGTTAATGCCAGTGGCAACTAGTGCCAATGCCACCTAGTGCACTCTGTGTCGAAACCACTTGGTTGCAAATAACAGAACCAACCTGAGGTAGGTTTAGCAAAGAAACGATGTTGGAGGATTTATTATAAGGACACACAGTGCCTTACAGAACCCATGGTGGCCAGACTTTGGGAAGAGGCTTGTACCATGACCTCCAAAGTATTTCAGATTCTCCATTTCCTAACCAGGTTGCCCTCTGTGGCATCTTCTTTTGGCTCCCTCTACAAACTCACTAGATTTTTCTGCCTCTCTGTCTACTGGTGGAATGTGTTCTTCCCAGTCCCATAATCTGTGACAAGGGAGGTGGTAATCATATAATGTTAATGTAGTTGGTAGGGGACCTGTGT